CTTCAATTATATATATTGTCACACCTTTGTTCCTAAACTTTTAATTTGTTGATGTATGTCGGTAAGAGACTTTGTGTTCAAAATTAAATTAAATGGCACTGTTCTTAAATGTTTAAAATGTATATATTGTGACCATATTTATTATACAGAATGCTAGCAACAGTAGGTAACATTTCAAAGCATCCACGCAACAATTTCTTGTAACGACTGTTACCTGTATAGATACATTCTAGCCTTTGGTCTTCAGAGGTAACCACTAAATTTGTAGAAAATTTGTGCAGGTCTTGTCATATTTTAGAGATGATGAGAAACCTCCATAACTTAACTACCCAGATAATATGTAGTTGACTGTACGTCATAAAGTAGATATTAGCAAATAGGAAAATAACCTGCACTTCATACATGTGCAGTCAAGTATCATAAAGCTGGCTGCTGTAGTGAGGTGCTAGAGAAAATTTGTGGTTATGTAAATCCCTGTTCAGGACACACTGCAGCCTGTTCAGCTGCTTTGCATTACTACATTAACACAGTTCTTATTATCTGGTATACTTATTTTACTGTTTGTATTAGTTTAGAATGTTGCAAGGCATTAGGGCTCCTTACTGATTCATCCATAGCTTTTTTACTGTGCCCCAACATGTCTGGAATAACAGTGCAATTTAAGCTTTCATTCCCTTTAAGCTGAACTGAGCAAAGCAAATGAAACACAAGAAATTCAACCAGGAAGGAGGTACCAAAAACTGCCCAGAAGTATGATGTTATAAATGGAATTATAATATCAAATCCAAATGAAGATGATTCTTCTGGTGACAAAGAGGATGAGATGAAGTCATCTGGAGATATAAACTGAGATTGCTGTGATTCTGAGGTAGTGTATCTACTGAATTAGTTCCTCAGTTAGTAGATCATACAATGAAATTTCAGATTTAAGGAAAAGGGAACAGACCATAAATGGCCAAAACTGTGAAGTCCATCAACATGTGCATGAGTACACTTAGTTACTTGCGTTGTTCGTCAGTTCAGTTGTTGAAACATATTTGTTAAAATACTACATTTTGCAGTGTTAAAGCTCATATATTTTTGACAAGATCCATATATTTTCCCCCACAATGTCTGCTCCCACACCGCAATATCAGAGCTTTTCTTCTGAGTAACAGACAGTTATATTTGTTATTAAAATTGTCTTCCAACTTTCACAATGTGAATTACAAGATGAGATGGTAAATCCTGTGCCATGGTAGAAATTTTGAACTATGGTACAGTGGGTTAGATTATAAATCTAGATGGACAAAATATCATGTTCCTTTCTGTCTGAATTCAAATTTGAGTACTTTTTGTACAATAACAAACCATAACAAAGCAGTTTTGGAAATATGCATGCAAATATCAGTGTGCCAAACTTGCAACAACAAACTGCCATCACTGTTTGTGCTCTGTGGTCTTGTTCTCTTTTACTCTGAATTGATAACAGTTTTGTGAGTTCTCATCAAATTGATTGTATTCTGAACAATGGAAGGTATTGTATTGATTTATTTCATAATTTGTGCATTTACTGTTAATTTTTTCATGTATATTGTTTATATCAACAATTTGTGTATTTACTGTTAATTTTTTCATGTATATTGCTTAGAACATGTCCCAAGAATTGTAATTAAACTAATTGCAGTGCACTGTACATAATGTTTGCAAAGGCTCTTGAAAGAACCATTTGATATCTGGCGAGTTAATTTATTTCCATTTATATTTGTTGATTATAGGACAACACTTATGTGCTGCAGTATGCTACTAATATGTAGTTTTGAGTGCAAAAAATGTAATTACTGTAATTAAAAGTAGCTTTGGTTTCTCTTATAATTCTGTCCACCTGCTGTTCATGGGTGTGAATGTGTTAACTTGGTAAGAGCTTTGCTTGTGTTGATTGAATTTTGCAGTATGAAAACTTGAGAAACTTTTTTCAGACAGAAGGCATTTCAGGGCTCTAGAAGTACAATTTAAGTCTACCAACCACATTACAAAATCCATTCATCTATTCTTGCTTTAGGCTTTATACAAATAATTTAACATGAGATATTTAAGAACTCAATCTTAAATGTAAGATTATTTTTACATTTTTAAATCCATTTGTTGTATGTTGCTTAGTGTATGCATAACATTATACTTCACTTGCATAAGGGTTTTTATTTTCCTCCACTATTTCTTTTAATAGTTACATTTTATCAATTATATATACTGTGGTAAAGGCCTGAGGAGAACATGCATTTATATATATCATAAGTAAATGTGTTGATGAAGATTAAAAGTACTTGTCATTGTCAACATTAACTTGCCAGTAGTGAGTAGGCGAGTATATTTCTGGTGCCCTGCTATTGGTAATATATAAGTGGTGACTGTTACAGGGTTCAGATGCAGAGATGCTTGTTGGACTGATGTGCGAAGCCCGAAGAATGCTTCGGCTGACACAGTCTCCAAGAATAGACAAAGATGACTGTGATCTGTATTTTAGCGCCATGTAGTCTTGTGGATGTTTATCAATGTTTCAGAGGTCTCTTCAGTTGATGTAGGCAGCAAGGATTTCTGAGACAGTGGTAAACATCTATCAAACTACACAGTGTTACAACTCAAAAGACAGCCATCTTTATTCTCACGGTCGTGAGAACCTCAGACCCTACAAGAATAGAACTGACCTGCTCACCTATTTGATTCTTCTTCTTTTATAGCTCTCCGGTCCGTATTCGGTCCATGGCCTCCTCAATTCTCCTCGTCCATTCGGTCCTCTGTTAGGTCCATCTGTCCGAGGCTTTCATCGAGGTTTTGAAACATCTACCTTTTTATGGTGCAAGGTTGTTAGCCTTGTGACCAACCCCCAACCTGGAGGACCAGGGTACCTGTCCTAGTCTGACCTCTCCCCCTCGACCAATCTACTCTCAGAACTTTATCGTAGTTTTTCTGCATTGTGGCAATAGCACAGTTAATACAGCCAAGTGTGACAGATATTGGCTATTGTATCAGGAGTAGATAACGGTGAGAAACCGTGGCTCATCTTGTGGCTTATTGAGGTGGGTGCTTCTTAAATCTGAAAACCTTCATACCTTGTTATCTTAAGGGAATCTTATGGCATGGTGCTTAAGTACCAATGTCAACTTTATCATTTTGTAGTTTGGAAATTAAATATGATAAAAAAACAGTGCCAAGACCATAGTTGTTTGAGGAGATTACAGGAATAAAGGCCACAACCCCAAACAAGTGTTTTGGGTATCAGTCCCAGTGAAGATTTTTCTGTACCTTAGAAATTAATTATGGTAGAAGAACATGGGTAAGACCAACGTTATTTGTTTTGATAGTGATAATAAAGTATCAAAGGTCTCGGACTCAAAAAGGCTGTCCTGATATCAAGTCTGAGTGAAGATGTTTTCTATATTTTGGAAAGTGATGTGATATAAGATGATGGATAAGAATGGCGATTTTTTTTCGGCAAGCAGACTGCAGAATCAAACACCGCTAAAACACAGACTGAAAAAAGTGTCCCTTGTAAAACATCTGGTAAAGATAGTTTTTCTGAATATTGAAAACTAATTGCACTAGATGATTGTATGAAGACAAATGAACTAAAGATTATAAAACAACAGTTTTAATACCAAAATTGCTCTTATCAGAGATAATATCCCCAAAAATTATGAGTTGGACAAGATTTCATGTTCAATTCTTAAGGCAGAACATAACAGAACTCAGAATTTTAACAGAATCTGCAAAAAGGAAAATGGAGTTGGTCCCTAAGCACCTCTAATGTAATACTGCCTGCCCACATTTATGGTGTAACTGATATGATGAGGAAGAATGGGCCAAACTGATAAGTTTTTGAAACTAATTACTGCAGATAATACTGTAAAGACAAATGTTCTTGGGTTTTGGGATCCATTGTTTTTATTGTGTCAAATGATTGGCCTAAGATCAGCTTTGGGACAAGAAACATTGATAAGAAAATGTTAACATTCCTCAGATTTCTGCACAGTAACAGTTCAGGTGCTGTGCTAGTTTTAATATGGTTAAACACATTCGGCCAATTATCATTTCTTGCATTTAGGCATGTGTCCATTTCGCTTTGCAAAATCAGGATTAATCATTCAACACAGAAGAACTGAATTAACCTTTTAAAGCCTGATTATTTCTGTTAGCAATACTAAGGAGTTAATCTTTGTAATTAATGGAGGTGTGGACTGAGTTTTAGAATATTATTTAGATGAGCTTTGTGATTCAAGGGTTAAGAGTCTTTTGAATTGTATTGGACAAAGCGAGATACTTGAGAACCAAAGTGAGTCTATTATGTTTAATGATCAGACCATTAGTAATCTAAAATGGAGAAAAATGCAAAACTGTTGTCCAAATTAATAAGCCTCGAATCACTTTTATTTTCTTATAGGAAGGATGACATCACAACCGAGTGTGAAAAAAAGGAAACCAGAAAATTAAATTTGAACAGATGGCACTGTTTGGAGCAAAAAGCTTGTAAAGACATCAGATTCTATTCTTCATGCTTATGAGGTCCCAGTATCAGTTCTTTGCCCAGACCCCAGTTATCCTGACTGAGGTTTTATGTTCTTTTCTTGATTCATCCAGCCAAGGAATTAAATTTGAATGGCCATGGCATCTTTCAGTTCATCATGAACAGTTATTCACCCACTTGACATTGGATAACTTATGCAAGTAAGAAAGAGCAATTAAATAAATTAAGAGGTATACAGGAAGCAGAAGCTACACATATGATTATTTTCCTTTAGTTACGGACCTACCACATTCAAAATTCTTCAGGTTTGACTGTGTCAGTACAATTATTGGATCATTTGTGGACCATTTCATCAGTTTCTACTCAGTTGATATAATCCTGTGTTTCTCAAGTTGGTTGTGCTAAAGGGGTTTACGAGTTGAGTAGTGCTGTTTTTATGCTGTATTGCTGTAAGTTGTAAGATTTTTGATAACATTTTACTTCCACATTGGTTAAAACATGACCAAACAATTAAACCATCTATCTGTATTTTAGTTGGTCATGTTTAACCATAATGGTTAAGATAATTTTTGGTGAGGGGTCTGCAGTACCAGAAATGTTGATTTTATTTCAGCCTTCTATCCATTGGGTATGCCAGTCAGGGTATGAAGCTGGTCACTCACCTCCATTTAAAGGTAAGGAAAAAGTGGAACTATACCTCCACTGCCAATTTATTTTCATGGCATGGTGCTTAATAAGTACCAGGATCAACTTTACCACAATTTATAGTGATTTAGGAAGGGATCCATATAAATTTTTTAGAGATATCTGCTGATAAACTAATCTACAATGTTGGTTGGTATTACGTTTCCAGATTCTGTAATAAAAAGCTGAATTTATGTTACTTCATGTCTGTTTGTTACATGTAAGTTGTATATAACTTATATTCAAGTCAGTCCACGAAGGTCTAGTCTACTCGTTGAATAGAATGAAGTGAATTCTCCAAGGTCAGTGTAAGGTATAGCAATAGGAGGAGGATTTCCACCCCTCCCCCAATTATTTGTCTCCTATGTATAATGTAATGTGTTCTGCAAGAATACCCCTTTTCCTATGTTCTCTTGTGTTATGCAGAGTTTCTTAAATTTTTATCCACTTAATGTTGTGGCAGTATACATATCTTCATGCATTGTGAATATGTCAAACAAGACTGGAAAGGTGTAATCCATACCTGAATACACACATGCATTCTTTGCAAGTTCTGAATGTTCCTAGATGAAATAAAAAAAAGTGTATCATATCTTAATCATGTATGCTGTGCACATGTTACTGTCAGTATCATCCACATAAGCATAGCATTAGCTTGCAGGCAGTGTAAAAACTTACATGTATATTCTACAAAATATTTATTCCTTTATTTTCTACTGATTAAGTTGTGTGGGTGAGGTAAGATTGGGTTACATTAGGTTAAGATTGGTTAACTTAGTTTTAGTTCGGTTGGTTTAGAGAGCAGGAAAGATGCTGAGAATTAACTACCACACAATGCTCGTCTTTGTGTTGCCAGCCTTGTCTCGTATGGCATCTTTATTCGGAGGTGCGTCAGCGTTGGGACTTACGGCATCTGGACGATCGATTGCGGTTTTTCAGTGTCTTATCATATGAAGCTATAGTTTGCTTTATTTGGATCTTGTGTCGGGTGTTGTTACGACAGGCGTTTCGACGCAGTGCGTCAGGGTTCCACCGTGTTACCGTATGGCTTATGCTAGGTTGGATGAGGTTGATTAAGTTAGGTTCAAAAGGTTGGCTCAAGTTAGATTAGTTTGCGTTGGTTTAGGTTAGGTTGGTGACATGATAGGGTCAGGTACAATAGGTTAGGATACAGTATTCATGTCCCAACTCAATAATTTGTTTGAAAATGGCAGAATGTCTGTGAACAACCCTCAATCAGGTTGGCTTTGTTTTCGTGGGAAAGCTGTTGGAATGTCGAGATGCCACTTTGAAACAGACGACGATTGCTGCTTCCCAGATCATTCCATTCCAATCCATCAAAGAAGCCCTGCAGATCATGCAGTGTGCATGCTTTAGTCAATATTAAACGACGGAAAGGAATTCTGAACAATCCACGCAATACCATACAGTCTCCTTGAAATCAAACAACCTGCCCCACAGTTGTGAGTCTCCTTAAAATCAAACAACCTGCCCCACAGTTGTGACAAAGAAGTTGCCGCTATAGCACGGCGAACATTTATATGTTAGCTGTATATAGTAGTAGAACGTTTCGTAAGTATAGTTCTCCTAAATTCGGTCTTACCATTTGTGCCGCCACAGGACAGTAATAAAATTACACAAGTTTCTGTTTGGGCTCCACATCTTAAGGTGTTGAATTTGATCGAGATAAAGCAACATTAAAATTGCCTTACAAATTTAAACGCAGACCTGCAAAACCAAATTCAACCAAAATTTGTTTAGTAGTTTCAGAAAACGACATAGACCGATGGACGTACAAATGCGACCTCATACGTTTATGCATTAGCTCAAGGATTTATTACATTTTAGATATTTGCTTCTGAATTTTGAATTCTGGGTTTCAGAAATTAAAGGCTCGAAGTCTTGCGTCTAACCGATTAATTGATGAAGTAAAATTGGCCTAGTGTTAACTTCACGTTGTGGGTGAACCTGGTTAGCCATCCATCCAGTTTGCCAGAAGCCACCTGCGGTCTTCCGATTCCGCAGCAGGGCCACCTGTTGTCAACGGGCTGCATTACGACGTCGCCCCGGGAGGTCTGTACACTCCCCTCTGCCCCTCAGGCTGATGATGCAGCCCCCCTGTCAGGCTCCCCCCAGCAGCGATCTACACTCACACCAGACCAATGACTGTTACCGGTTTTTTAAAAAGAGGCAAGAGGGGGAGAGTTGCAGCTTGTGTTATGGCCACCACAACGAGTCCTCCAGCCGTGGGAAGGAAGGTTTTCGACAACAAAGCTGCTGCTTTGATCTAATGACACCCGAGGAACAACGAAGGATGGGCAGTACATCGCGATGAAGAAGCCTCCTCTTGCATTCGGCATTAAACCATCTGACCTCGCTTCTGTATCGGCCACGAAGAGTCAGCGGCGCTTTTGCACAAGGCGAGACTGACCGCGGACCACACACAGGTAAGTCCATCCGTCGTCAGCTGTACTGATTGTCACCTTTGTCTTCATCTGGGTCCGGAACATTATTTTGATAGATTCTTATCAACTGTATAGGTTAGATTGCATTGATGTTGAATATATGTATGGTCCATCCAGCAACGCTGGTTGTACGAAATGGCCTTTAGAACTACTTTCCTAGCTTTACCCATGGAGACCCGAGCAAAACTATTACAGACCTCTAGGCAGCTAGGCCTTGAGCCGAGGTTAGAGCCAAAGAACTTTGTAGCGCCAACAGAACATCGCATTCCAGGATAATATGATTATAAACAGTGTATTTTGCAGGATGTAAAAAATAAAGGGTTGTGGCCTATTTTAGGACATTTTACGATATTCGCGTGCAGACAGTGCAAAAACCTGTGACAAAATCGTCAAGGGTATATCGGGTACAAGAATTTCACCACTTCCGCGAATTCTGCCTCCTACCCAGGCCTACTAGAAAAACCAAAGTTTGCATTGGCTGTTATGCCTTCATTCTACGATGTGCATGAAATGAACGCTTAAAAGGTTCATAGTGTCTGTCAGTATGTCCACATGTTTCATCTCGGCAATCTCTTGACGGATTTATTATTTCGTTCGGTCGGTAATACCAGTGTGGTGGATACGCGAACTTCGTGGCTGTAGTGCCAGATCTTTTAAGGTTGAGAGCCAGTGATGTAGTGGGATGGTGTTCGTACTGCCGTCGTAGAATGATGTCTGTCGTGATGCCATTTCACTGTTCCTTTGCTGCAGTAATTATACCAGAGACGAATGTGATATGTCTTGCGTGAAGCTCACAGAGTTTGTCTCTGTCCTTACAGTAATCACACCGAACACCCATTTATTAACACAGTTAATCGGCTTTTAAAGCGGGTTTTACGTGGTTGTATAACATGAATAGGGATATGTAAGCAATCTCCATGGCATTTCATGTCGCTCGGAGTAAATTTTAAACGTTTTACCAACAACATGGAAAAAGTCTCAAAAGAACAAGTAAGCGATAGTGATCCTAGCCGAATGCGGGGTGACCTTCCTGACAGATCTCAGTAGGTCTGTGTTGCGGTAACCAATTAGTCCTGTATCCCGGGGTTACCATGTTCGAATCCTGGTTAAGCTACCAACTTTCCACAATATAAAAGTACTCTAATGCGATTACTGGTTTCTGACTTTTTCTTACCAAATACTTACTTGCTGTTCATGATAGTATTCCTATGATGTTAAAAACCGAAAACACATAAGCCTACATATTAAAGAGCGTTATTAAATAACCCGAGAATATGTCGTTACTGGAAAACAGTGTATTCTACAAAACCGCGTAAAGAACTATGGGAAAAATACGGTTCCGGGAACTTGGAAAAGAATACACAGCAAACCTCCCTAACAGAGAATGTGGATGTTTTCAACGAAAAATTCTATTGAAACATGGGTTCTTGGATTCCTTGAATTATGGGTAATTTTATTTTGGAAGAATACTGGTAAAAATAAAGTGTTAACCTTTCTACAGGATAGTGTTTATTTACAAATAGCTGATTCCAGTGTTGCAGGTTCCGGTTACAACAAAATTAGCAAAGTATTGTCCTTGTGCTTTCACACAGCGCGCTATGCACGCGCGTCTCATTAAGGACTGTCGCAGGACATGAAACGTTTCAGGCGTGTTACGAATTAACTCTCGTCCGTCTTCTACCCTCTGTACCACTTCCGCTACGTCATTAACTGACGTAGCAAAAACAGTACTTTTAAAATGGTCTCATAAAATCCAGCGGGTTCAAGTCCGGCGACCTTGTGGGCCATGGCACGAAAATGATTCGTCCAAGGTCTCAGACATCTTTCGTTATTTGTTGCATAGAACACGTCCTCGAAGTGGTTACATGTGTTTCAGAACGTTCTGTAAGTTATGGGTTATACGAAAATGTGAATCGTGGTCTTCTGGGTTGTAACGCCATTGACGAAACGTCGGTATCTACTTACGAGTTATCGCAATCTACCACCTGAAACGTGTTTCTCTGAAACCTTAGTAACTACGAGACCAGCAGTTGAACCTTTGCTTTGGATCGATATCTCGGGCCAACTTGGTTCCGACTCTACATGTGCATGGCCCTAAGGGCCTCACCTCTTCACACAATGGTAGCCGGAAAACGCAAATGACACATGACATAGCAATTAGTGAATGCGACAGTCGTATGTTTCATTGTACACAGACAAGAAAGAGTGGTAGCACCTATTGTCCAATACAAAAGGGCCCGCACATGCTTTCTCTTCGACTAACTTTCAGCTGTTCTCTTACAAAGTTCTCTTAGACAACCAATACAAATGCACTTATAAGTAATTACTATCGCAGTTTTATCGATCATTACTAAGCTTGTTCCGTTGTTAAAGAAATAATTTTCATCTCATTTCCCTCTGACTGCATATTTCAACACAGAAACGACCATTTCTGTCGACTTTGGTGGGGTAAACTATATTAGTTATGTAATACCTTTGAAATAAATAGGCCCACTGAACGTGTGGCATGGTATAGACATTTTTTTCTTCATCGTCATGATGTAAAGTTGCCACTTCTCTCTTCAAACATTCTTCAGTCTCTTGAGGGGGGGGGTAGTCCTTTCCCCTCCTCTGATTTGTGCCGTAAAACGCAGAACCGTCACATATTTAATTTTCTGCTAATCGCCCCCTGGGCTGGAAAACTTTAAAACGCACATTAAACTAGCTGAGGATATGGAGTGCTTTTGTGAACAAAGTTCTGAACATTTGGTTTTCGTAATAGGAGGGAATTTTTTTGGCTAGCCAAATAAATTACTCATCTATATCCAAAAGAAGATTATTTTATGGAGACAGTTAAAAATTACAGTTGGCTAAGGAACGCAGTAGCTTATCCGTGACGGGAATGATGATATTGGACAATGTTTAGCTTCCCTTGAATAAAGACCATATCACCTACTGGACGTACAACTTCACACGATCAACAGTTGCCCTACCTGTCTGAACAGCTTCGCCAGAGGGGAGGTTACACGCCGGATGCTGGCCACCCCTACCGTTTGAGACCCCCCCCTCTCTGCTCCTGCTGTTCTTTGTCGCCCCCCTGCCGATGCAACTGCCCGAACAAAGAATGAACAGTTTTTTATGTACTAGTTCGTCTATTATAATAGGACCTACAATTTGAAACGTGTCACACGTAGTGAGGGACCCCCACGTTGTTGCGTCAAGTACAGGGGTTCCCACAAACCGCTACACATGCCCTATTACCACTACTACTACATTTTGACTTCTGTTCGTAAATTAAAATGTACTTGCCTATGGAGTACTATAAGTTTATAGGCCTAAGTCTTCGTAGTGTGACGAGTTTAATGAGAAAGCAGAAGTTGTCATTAGTTCCGTCATGTGCCGCTTGTGATTGTCGGTCTTTCTAGCGCTCTCTCTCCTTGTAGACATTTCAAGGAACTTTGTTCTTTGTAATTGGGGAACAGTTTGTAACAGTTCCTCTTCTTCTTTGCTTTGTTGCCAAGGTGGGATCGGGTTTGATGACGGAATTTATGAGACTTATGCTGTGTCTTTAGGTATTTATTTCAGGTGATTGCTGAATTAAATTCTCCACACGATATTGGTAAAAGTTAATGTACTACACCGATACGTCCATGATAACGTTTCAACTTGCAACAACTGACAACTGACCGACGACTGATTCTAAAAGAAGTTTTCTCTCAAATATATTAATTTCTCCTACTCATTCCGAAATCTGAAATTGATGCGACTTCCCGCTTTATTTTGTGGTTGGTTGGATAATTTAAATTTAAGTCAGAATAACTTTTCTCTGATTGGTCGGTTCGATACCCGAGGTCAACTTTGACAGTTTACATCGCGTGGTGACGATAGGTCACTTATGCCCCCTATTGCATAAACCCGATTAATAGGGGCCCGACCTCCTAGAGGTGAAATACTGCAATGGCCTGTGAAAGTATCCAGTTACAAGAAGTTTCGAACTTCTTGGATGTGGATTTTTCGAAAGGACAGCTGACAGTGACAAATGTAGGTATATGTTCCGCTGTATTGAAAACGGAAACATTACTTCTTCCTTGATGGGTGGTCATAGTCTGAGCTCGACCTCATGACTAGACGATTACAAGTTCTTATGAACCACATTGATCCACTGCTACAACACTGGATACTTGACTTTTAAACATATGTGAAAATATTTTCAGATTTATATTAACAGCTGCTAAATAAATATTTGATTACAACATATATTTAGCCGAGTCAAATCATTTCAGCACAGGTGACTTGTTATACGCGCTTTCGCATATCCGCGGTGTTATTTAAGTATTAGGAGAAACATCAGTAGCCTATCCGCGGCCAAAGTTTAAAGCCTGTTGCCTGCGTCGAACCTTTTCTAAGCTTACAGATGATAAAATTCTGACGACAGTTTAACATTAAAATGGAGTTTCAAGATGAATTTTTTCTGAGCTGTTGCGCTGTGTACAAGTTTACCGACGTTTCAGAGGGCGATACCCTGATGATGGAGGCAGCAAGCCTCGTAGCAAATGTGCGGGACTGCCTCTGGTCACGCGGTCGGAGACACGGCTGCAAATTCTTCGTATGTTGGAAGCTGGTCACACGTGATGGTGAATCCTACTTTGTATACATATCATAGCGTGTTGTAATGAAGCACTAGTATTATTAGAAATCCCCCCTGCCCTTTGGCCCTTCTCGCCCCCGCAGGGGTACTGAATACTTTGCTGTGTCCCCTGGAGAGTGGCAATATGCACCTGAACCATGGCGTAAGGAAATGACAGTCTCCAGTGTTGATCAAGTGCTCACACATCCCTTGGAGCTGTGAAGTTGCGCTGGATGTTTCATTTACGTGGCTGAAGCAAGGTTGGTTGCCCGTGTACCCTCTGTAACTGACTGTAAGTACGATTAACACAATGTACGAACTTTGCCGTATTCTGTAGGATGTTTGGGGTTCACACGTTCTGAAATATACGCCGGCAGGATGAAGAAGTGTTTGTAGGCTAGATAAATTGACTTAAGGGTCTCTGGACCTATTCGACGAAGTTTTTTTCTGATGACCACCGAAATGACGTCCCTACTTCAGAAATAATTTGAGTTAAATATCCCAAATACAAAGTTGAACAATGAAGTTTTTTTAAAACAACGTTCTGAGGAAAGTATATGGAACTAAGGATAATAACAAACAGAAAGAAGAAGAAGAACATAACATAATGATCTTTAATAATTTATCTTTATCAAATATCATTAAGTTAATTAAATCTAGGATGACTTGCTGAGCGAGCCATACACCACGCATGGAAAAAATGAGAAACTTGTAAAACATTTTATTCGGAAAGCTTCAAGGGAAAAGACAACTTCGGTGACGTAGGCATAGTTCGGAGGATAATATTAAAATGTATCTTAGATAAATAGGATGTGGAACGGTTTCAACTGATTTAAAATATCGTCCAATGGCTGGATTTTTTTAAGGTTATGTTATGTCTTTGGGTTTCATAAAAGCGAAGAATTTCTGGGACACTACATGAATATAAACTTTTAATGAAATACGGAGAATTATGAAAAAAAGTACAGAAACTTTGTTCCACGTTCCAGTAAATTAGACTGCCACATTACTTCTAAGAGAGATGACACCGTTCAAGAAGAATAAAATCTTTAGCGTACATATTTCTACTATGCTTCAAAGGCCGTGATTGAACGAAGTATTTTTATTGGTGATATTCTACAATTATCGCATAGTTTTAAGATTCACGTGTCATACATTACGCAACGACGTGATGAAAGTGGTTGAATTTGACCTCCGTTTATTTGTAACTGTCGTCTGTCTTCCTACCAAAGTCTGGCAAAGTCCAACACATCTGCATGACTGTATGATACACACCGCTCTGACTGCAGTCATTTCACCAAATCGTAGGCCATAGAGGTCATGTATACCACCTCGTAGACAGATTTATTTTCTATTTCTTGCGTTTATTTTTACAAGTTTTGATAAGAGTACTGAATGTTTTCAACTGGATATGTATGGATTCATGAGTAGAGTTTTTTATGCAGTTATGTATAAACACTATTTTTTTGTGAAGCGGATGGATTGTGACGTACTGTAATTACTGAACCGTGCCCCTACACGCGTAATATACTGCGCTGTGCATAGAATATTATCGATATACGGTCCCAAGTGTGTGGACTCTTAAGGTTTCTTATAATAGAATGTTTTATCGATAGCACGAAAATTAATTTGACTTCTACTCTTCGGGGGACGAGGGTATAACCGTCAACCGTCATCGGTTTTGGTCCAGCTAACTCAGGGTCTCTCAAGGGGATCGAATGTAGAATAAAGTTACAACTGCACTTAAAATTCAGTACATTTATTTAATAGTTGCTTTTACATAGAAACGCGCTTATACGAGGTGCGTTCGGAAAGTTTATAGACTGCGCCTGTAAAAACCCGTACACTTATCTCAGGTATTAAATTCATCCATCACCCTCGAAGTAGTTCCCCTGGGAGTGAACACAACGATCCCAGCGCCGCTGCCAAGCCTGGAAGCATCCCTGGAAATCTTTCTTTGCCAGCCTGTCAAGCACCATCTGCGATTCTGCCTGAATCTCTTCTATCGTCTCAAATCGCCTTCCCTTTAGCTGAATTTTCATCTTTGGGAAGAGGAAGAAGTCACACGGAGCTAAATCCGGCGAATAAGGAGGGTGCGGGATGACGGCCAGGGTGTTTGAGGCCAAAAACTGCCTTTTCGGGCGTTGTGCTCGAAGATGGTCGTCCAGAACGCTCGTCATCATCGACAGCGGTTCGGCCATTTTTAAAACGTGAATGCCACACAAAAGTTTGTGCACGACCCATTGCGGACTCCCCAAATGCTTGCTTTAGCATTTCATAGGTTTCCGTAGCCGTTTTGGCGAGTCTTTGGCAAAATTTGATGCACACGCCATTCCGAAATCGCAGGAGAGTCGGTGTAATGCACTACCAAAACGCCCGTAACTAAGAAACAAATGCTAATTCGATGATGCCGGCTGGCACACTGATTCACTGTGAATGTAGGCCGCACCCCCTAGCGGCAGAAGCTCGTACTACATCCGGTTCGCCCGCTATTGACACAGTCTTGAAACTTTCCGATCGCACCTCGTAATATAAATTTGGTCTCTCTCCTTCGACTTTCTTATAATACTTCACTGGTCTCATTCCTTCAAAGAGACGCACTCACGAGTCTCCCACCTGGTCTCCTCCTCTAAAGAGCTTACGCGTTAATATTATAATCACTTCTTTGTTCAAACGGACTTCACCGCAGCATTCTTTCTCATAACTCCAATACACAATCATAAACAGATTGATAACAAGAATAATGAAAGCAGTGTAAGCATACGGACATGACGAATTTAGCTGAGATTTGGTATTTTGAATGTACGGTATTTGTCGGCTAATTACAACAAATTTCGTACTTGAAATTCAAATTGGGATTTGGATTTTTTAAATGCCGGGTTGCAAAGCAAAATGTATTTGAAATGTTTTTTGATATGCATATTTAATGCGAAGGGGGAATATCTTCATTTTCAATTTAATATCTCAACTACCGGTGGTTTTGTCAACAGCAGAACTCATGATTGTAACCAACTCTATGGAGGTGGCTTATTACTGAGAAACTGATAGTCGCTCAGCTAATTAAGAAGTGCTGCGCATTTTATGGATTACGAAGATTCTTTACCATATTTAGAAGAGTCTGCCACTGGACATTACCTCAGCCAGACGTATCCAGTGCATAGCCTGTTTCTACAAGATCCGTTATAATATTATCTTCCCGTCCACGCTTAGATTTTCCAAGTGGCCTGTCTCTTCCCTTCAGATGACCAATTTTTAAGCACTGGCCCCGTTTTCGGACGAACTAGAGAGAAACTTACACAGAACAGAAGTCTGACGACACTAACGGACATGATGTGCTTTCTCATACTATCATAAAAGCATGGGAGAAGTCAGCCATTTTTAAATAATAACATAATTGCAGATGTCTTCGTTCCCACTTACCTAAATATAATAACTCTGTACGTTGTGATCTGCCGGCCTGATGCCAAGTATCGTCTTCGTAAGGAGCAACGGTCAATGTGCTTATCACTTGGTCTCCAAAGTGGCCCAGACCGGTTTTCCTAGGAAAATCAAGTAGTGACCTCTGACCCTATGGGGCCAAGGGGAGACGCAAAACTGGTAGAATCTGGATCAACTCTGTCTCCATTTATTGCATGTTTGTTAGCATTCGCCCTTGAGCCCAACACTTTTCCTGCCAACATTACATTAATAGTTGTTCCTTCGAGTTGAAACCATTCCTAAAGAAGACACCACTACAAGCAGCTGCTAGTCCCTGTTTCTTTACGGGAGAGACTTTTCATCTTTTTTTTTATTTGCCCGAATACTGACAGGGAAAACAAGATATGGGGTCCATCTTGCAGTATTCGAACTGCTATCGAGGTAAACTACTATACTGTTATAGCATATTTGATTTATTGCTGTCGTTTGCAAACTTTATTACTCTGTGAACGAAATATATATCGTCGGTGGTGTTTGTTTATTTATTAACTACTGTTATTTCAGTAACATGATTTCATAATCATTATTTTTAGAGACTTACCAATGTGTTTCGCTCCAGGGAATGTAGTAGGTTTGCCTTTCCAAAATGCACAAAAATAAGTGAAATTAAAATTTTGTGCGTTTCAGCATTGTATGGTTGAAGTGTTCAGAGGTTCCTAACTTGTGGGCACTTCCAACATAAATTCACCTTGTATTTTATTTTACTTGTTAATAATTCGGATTGATTTTGTTCCAAGACAAACGTAGTATTATTTATTTATCAACTATTATAATTTTACGAGATAAGGAAAATTATATCAGTACTTTATCACGCGACCTGTTATTATTTCAGGAGGGATGGTAACAATATGACCTTTCTTATCAACTTTGATAACATTAAATTATACACTGTCACTAATAATGTGGAAAACATTACATATTATATAAATTAAATCGACAAAGCTCGGTCAGCAAGGCTGGGCGGCCGTGGTTAGACTCTCGTTAGAAGAGGCTGTTGTGTCCTTCACCACACCTAGAGTAACTGCTGATGCCGAATTAGTCTTATGTTCACTAGATAACGGGGGATTTTCCGGGAATAAGGGGCCTAAGCCTAAAGCTGAACTCATCTCAATCTCGTTTCAAGGTCATTAAGGCATGGTGCTTAAACTAGAGCGAAGTTTACTTCACGAGATTTGAAATTTTCAAGGCGGGGGAACGTTGATACCCACAGCCAAGATTACATGGCGTCTCAACCCTCAACAATACAGTCCACGTTTAGCCTTGTTTCAGGGGTGTTCATAATAAAAGTGTTAGCCCGGCTTACACTTTTATAAACGTAAAATAAGAAGTTTCTGTCTTAAATGGTTCAGTGGTACTCCATAAACTTGAACACAGCAGAACCGGTAAGATAAATGCATCGTTAGCCAGATAGGCGCTCGGGGTAAACGTTCCCCAAATAACCAAGAGAAATCGCCACAACGCAATTTGTACATTTCCTAATCTGTTCACACAATGTATCCAGAATTTGTAAGAAAATGAACAGATCAGTAGTGTTTTAGGAACGAGTGTTAAATGACGGGGAGAAAGTAAGACATTGCGATTAAAAATGTTCTTAAGCCCTGTACGGTATGGTACAGCAGCACAGGCGGATGACTCAAAATAAACTGATCTCACTACTATTACCACACATCTGAGATCTATTGCTAAATGTGTATAAACGCAGAAGAACAATCGATATAGCCCACTACTATTCGAAAGGGACCCTGAAACTGGAGTGCCGCTAATTATATAGGAGTTGGTTTTTCTTTCCCGGAGAGTGAATTACCTTCTTTGTGATTGGAACAGAAGTGTTTCGTTCTTGCAGGTTCCACGGGTAGAGGACTCTGGTGCCCTTACCGTCTGCCGGAACATAGCAACGCAATGGGTGAGATTGCTGAAGAGCTGAGAGCAGCTGTACAGGTAAGCTCCTCTACAGGCTGCCTCATAAATTTGGTAACGTTTCTCCAAAATTTAAATAGAACAGCCTTTCCCAAACTTTGCAACTTACGGACCAACGAAATAACAGCAATCGCTGTGGCAGCAGACTCTAACCTAAGCCAA